TTTTCATTTTATTTTATTTATTGATTGTAGTTTTGGTATCATATTTTATTAGAACAGTGTTCAAATTTTTTTTTCAAATAGAATTACTACATAATATAGCCATTTGTTATAGCTACTATAGGAATTTTGTTTAATTTTAGTATTATGGAAAAAACTTCAATTTTTCAATGGTCTATATTTTTTTTAGTTTTTTACTTAATAATGATCTCATATATTTTCTTAATTAAATATGGAAAAACTGAGATTTGTGTGATTAAAAATTACAATTAACTATAATTTTGGAAATAATATGTACTTTGTTCATAATTTATAATGTCCGAGACTTTATGAATTTTCAAAGCAAAAGATAAAATAAAGAAATAACTTGGAATGGTGTAATAGATCTAGATTCTAGACGAATAAAAAATGATAGAAAACATTCAATCTTTTCTTCATTTTTCTTAAGTTAAATACACTATTGTTTTTTAAATTCTTCTAATTTTCACATTTATTCCAAATAACTGAGGTAATATTGTGCATATAACTATAACATTGTGCTGATATGGTAAACCCTTGGAAATTAACCTCAAAACTTGTGAAATATATTACATAAAATTTGTTATACATATTAAAATATAATTTGTTTATTCGTTTGAGAATGAATTAGAACTTTTTTAAAATAGTTTGTTTTCAATATTTAAATTGCAACTAGATTTAAACATTTACTAATTTTAATTAGAATTTCAATTTTCAAAGTACTTTAATTTTCAAATTTTACTAATTTAACTGTAATAAATACACACATACTTTACATTTTATGTAAATATCTGTATAATTTTATCAGAAGATTAGGTTTTCACATTCTTAATGTATAATAAATTTAATCACCTTTTGATATATTTAAGTTTAATTAGTAACTCATTTCTTTCTCAACAATAAGTATACCGTCATTAATATTAACAAAAATTATATATAATGTTACAATTATTGAAAAAATTAAAAATTTCTAAATAAATTTGGGCGAATGAATAATAAAATTAATTAAATAATTTCTTAATATTTTTCTTTTCTAGTTTTAATAATAATAATGAAATCATAAGTATTTTCTCAGAATTAATTTCACCACGATTACTTATTATGAATACCGAGAAATTAATTTTCTAAGTAATTTTATTATTTATAGGATTTATGACAATAAATTGAATTTCCGAAGGATATTATGATTATAAAAATAATATAGGTATTGATTTTGTTTTCCAAACACTATAAGATGTTTTCTATTTAATATGCCCTTAATATAATCTTTTAATTACTACAATTTTATAAACGGCTAAAGTACCAAATATTTTTTAGCACATTTCCAGCAAAAATGTGGAAAAGGTGTATATTAAATATATATATTGCTTATATAGGCATTTACATACACTTTACAATTCTGTTCTTTTGAATTCACACAAAAAAAAATTTTTTTTTTCAACTATACATAAGTACATGCATATACACAAAAGTTTCAAAGAATTCATTTTTCCTAAAAAAAAATTTTTTTTGTCATCAACACTATATTTAACCGATGTCGATTGGTTGAATTCCTCTATTTTCCAAAATAAATATTTTAAATTATACCGCTGAAAAAATACTGAAAATAAAAAATGACATCCGACCAAATTTTCAATAATTTCTGTATATCTCAGTTCTTTTGAATTATTTACTTAAATATATTAAAATAATATATTAATATAATATATTTATACATATATTTTTATGTATATATACTAATAAAATACATATGTTATTTTAATTTGAATTTATTTAATAATTTTCATGATTTTATCAAATAATTTTTTATATAAAAAAAAATAATCAAGGATTTTTCTACTCATCTTTATATTTAAATTAAATTAAGAATAGTCAAACTATCGCAAAATATTATATTAGTTAGAATTTCTTGTTTATGAATATTTATATTAAATATGTTTATTATATTAGATTTATTATTCTTTTGATTATAGAAAATTGAAAATAAAAAAAAAAAATTTAACCCTATAATTTTGCTATTCTGCAATTGGGTTTAAAAGCATACAAATCTTTGGTCAATATTATGTAAATAATTTCGAATAAAATAATATTAGTAGATAATTTTAATAAAGAAAATATTATCTGTAGGAGTTAATAAATGGAGGATAAGTTAACTTTTTTTGCCAATAATCGAAATTTTGTTAAATCGACCCATATTAAAAGATTTACATATCTTATGTAGAACTTTGTTTTTTTAGAGTTGAAATATGTATTTTATTAAAATCTAGAATTTGAATTTCGAGTACATAATGTAAATTAGAAGAAAGTTCAAGATTTTTAAAAAATATTATGCAACAATTGCCCTAATCAACTAATTTCTCTACAATACTCAACTGCATTTTGTAGAATTTTGAATAATTTCGAAATTGTTAAAGAAAATATTTGAAAAAATTTCATTTAAGATTATTACATTCTAGAATATTATTATTTATAAAAAGTCAAATAAAATTTCTTTAACATTTAAATAAAAGTTTAAAAGGAGCACAATAAATAGCTTTAATAATGACATTTTTTTTTGATCTTTTATATAGGGTATGATTTTATATTAATTTCTGTTGTAATTTTTTACAGAGCTTCATCAAAATAGAGATGAAAATAGTTTATTTTATGTGATGCAGCATTGGTTAAAAAAAAATTGTGTTCTCTAAATATTTTTTCGGTTGCAATCTTAATATTGTAAAAAACAAAACGAAAATGATTAATTTATTAAAATAATAATCCATGTGTATTAATTATTAAACATTAGTGTCGCTCATGGGTTAATTATTTTATTACTCATTTGACAAAAAAGTATAAATTATTAACAGAAAAAAAGTTTTTTTTTTTATTTAGAGAGAATTTTTTCTTTTCATTTAATTTTTGTCAATTTATATACTAACATATAATTTTTTATTAGTTTTTCATGCATACCTATATGTATTTATATCGATCACGTACCTATACGCACTCAAATATACAAATTAATTAAATATATAAATAAATATATAAAACACATATGCACTTAAACATATATGTATATATATATATGCGTATATGCAAGTATGTATATACATAAATGGTTTTATAAGAATAATATGTTTCTTACACCTTTGCAATTTGAAAAAAAAAAACAATTTCTTCTCCAATGAAGTGTGGAGAATTTTTATTTTTAAAAACTTTATTATTATTATTTTTTTGTTTTTTTTTTCTTATTCAATTTTATTTTTGAGAAAATTCAACGCATTTCTCATTTTCATTTAAAATTTTTGGCAGAAAAGACGAATATTGTTTTTCTATATTCTTTAAAATTTGTTCTTAATACATAATTGATTTTTTATTTAAATTTTGACATTTTTTTTTTGTTAAGTTTATTGTTTGTATTATTAAATTTACTTTAAAAAAATTGTTTTTTTTTTTTTTGTTTTAAAAACAATAAATATGAATACCGACATTTTATCTATTTATGTGGTAATTTTCTAAAAAAAAAATTGAATATTATTAATAATATAAAAGAATTATAATTATTATTTAAAATTCTTAAATAAATATGTACAAAATATTTAGTTAGATTTTGATCACGATTGAATGATTGCTTAAGTGCAGTAAGGCTAATTTGAGTGCAACGCAAAACAAAGAACAAACATATTGAAAATATTTAAAATAAATAAAATTAGTGTATAGACGTTCAAATATTAAATATAAGAATATATACCTATGCTGTAAATTTAAGATTGTTAATTTTTGTGATATTTATCTGGTAAACCGCTTATCTATAAACAGATATTGATTTATTTTAATTAATCCCTGTTCGAACAAACATCATCACTGAAAAAGCGTTCAATTTAATAATATTATAAAAATAATATTGTAAATGGAAAACATTTTCTTTTATATTGTGTTTTAAAATTAAATATATTCTATATACGTGCTTAAATAATTTAAAATCAACTTAAATATTGATATAGCACAGTAACTCGTAAATTGCTACTTACAGAAAGTAATTTTTAAAAGTATATGTAAATGGTTGATGCTGAAAGATGCAATTTGAAAAGATAAAAGTCCAAATCGTGCTAATACATAATGAAATATATTTAATATAATAGTAAAATTTTAATATTCGCAATGTCTTCTGTATTTTCGATAAGGTTAAAAAAAATGAAACGCGTGACTGCGTTATTTATATATGCAACTATGTGCGTTTTGTTCGATTGATTGATTATAAAATTATATGGTAGAAAATATTTAAAATTAAGATATGAAAATAAATGAAGAGAATATTTTTAGAAATATTTATAAAATAAGTTTATAGATTATACGAAAGAAAAAAATTATAAAAGTATATAAAAATTTTCCAATATTGTAAAGGGCAACAATGTTGTTTATCATTTAGATATTAGTTTACACTGTACTTTGATTTGTACAATTAAAATTCTACTAAAAATACTCTTATTATTTTTATTATACTTAAAATAAACACTTAATTAACACTTAATTAAAAAAAAAATATTTATTTTGAGATTGATGCATATAAGTAATATATATTTAATTCATCAAATTAAATGCTATATATTTTAATAATATTTTGTCATTTTGCTGCTTTAAGCTTTTTAGTTTTTCATTTAAAATTTAGAAACAAAAAGTATTGCTTTCAATATTATCATATACATTTTACTAATGATTTATTATATATTATATACAAACCATGAATATTGTATTACTATATAACATATATAAAATATATATAAATATACTCGTATATATCTATTATATACATTTTATATATACATATATATACATATATATGAACATACTACATATGATTTTTTTGAGTCATATGAATGGCATATGTTCATTTTTGTTCATACATGTAGATAAAATAGATTATTAGATTTTCTTAAATAAGTAAAAAGAATAAAAAAAATTTTAGAATTAATATTTAAATAACATACGTATTTTAAATATTTTAGGGTATGCCAGAAGCATGGGCTAGGTTGCTTATGAATTCAAATATTAGTAAACAGGAACAAAAGAAAAATCCTCAAGCTGTATTAGATGTACTAAAATGGTTTGACAATAGTAAACAGAGGCCTAATTCAAAATATATGACAAATGCTACAACGCATTCTGGTAAGTTATTTTAATAGTTTCTATTACTGTTTTATTTCTATAACCGATTTTTACGATTCTGTAACAATATATTTTATATTAATATTTTTAGCTGGATCATCATTAAGTCGTGTTAGTAGCAGTAGTCCAAGTAGTACACCAACTGATTCTGAATCACATGTGGCCCCTGCAACCTTAAATAATATAATTGGTGGTGTGGGTGCATTACAAATTGGTATAACAAATCAGCATCATCAATCGCATTTGCATCATTTACATGTACATCAGCAACTTCAAAATCAGCAACAACAATTGCAACAACAGCAGCAACTCTTACAACAACAACAAAATCAACACCAACATTTAAATAATCAAATACATTCACCGCATAATTATGTGCCACATTCTCAATCACAATCTACTCAATCCTCACAACATAGCTCAACAAATGAAGATGATTTTTCATTAAGTGGAGGTGGTGGCATACAGCCTATACCACCTCCTATCGCTAGTCGGCCTGAACGAACAAAATCGATATATACAAGGCCTATTGAAGATCAATTACCTCCACCACCACCGCCACCATCGTCAATCATTATATCATCAACTAATACATCTCCTATTATAACTAATAATCAAATGGCTCAACCTCAGATTCATCATCAATTGAATAATCATCAACAGCAGCAGTCTATTTTGCCAATGATCCCTCAACATGCTATAACGAATCAACAACAGCTTCAACAACAACAGCAGCAACAACAGCAACAGATACAGCATCAGCAACAGACGACAATAAAGAGTCCAACACTTGACAAGAATAAAAATAACGCAAGTAATAATCAAAATTCTTCTACTTCTACTACTCCTACTACTACTAGTACTACTACTAATAGTGATACTACCATAATAAAAGAATTAGTTACTAGTACTACGACTGCAGCGACAACTGCATTCAGTGATACTAATTTAATTAATATAACTAACAATTTACTAACCAATAATAAAAATACTAATTCAATAATTAATAATTCTGAAATTGATATAATAACTAATTTATCTAATAATTCTTCCATATCTTCATCGGATATTACTTCGACGACAACTACAACAACAACCACAACTATCATTATAATCCCGACGTCAACCTTTAACACGATACCATCAACAATTAATAATGAAATTATTACAAATACCCCTGTTGCGTCATCACCTTCATCATTTGTCTCGACGAATTCTGATATGCTTCCACAAACTGTTTCAATTTACTCGGTAATCGATACACCTGTAACTAATGCATTGAAAACTACTGTAACAACACCTATAATGACTAAACCTTTATCACAACAACAAACAATTTCGCTCGTTGAACACACCTTGCCAACAACAATACCAACATTAACGACTACCACAACTTCAACAACAACCGATATCACCACAATAGCAACAACACCACAAACAACACCAGCGACAACTACAAATGAAACAACTACAACTACAACTACATCGCGTACTGGTGTAGTGAAAAAGAAGAAAATGACTGATGAAGAAATTTTAGAGAAATTAAGGACGATTGTTAGTGTCGGCGATCCAAATCGTAAATATACAAAGATGGAAAAAATTGGACAAGGTGCATCTGGAACAGTTTATACAGCAATCGAGTCATCCACTGGAATGGAAGTTGCTATCAAACAAATGAATTTAAGCCAACAGCCAAAGAAAGAATTAATTATTAATGAAATATTAGTTATGAGAGAAAATAAACATCCAAATGTTGTTAATTATTTGGATAGTTATTTAGTTACTGAAGAATTATGGGTTGTTATGGAATATTTACCTGGTGGTTCATTAACAGATGTTGTTACAGAAACATGTATGGATGAAGGCCAAATAGCAGCGGTATGCCGTGAAGTATTACAAGCACTTGAATTTTTACATAGTAATCAAGTGATACATCGAGATATTAAGAGTGACAATATATTGTTGGGTTTAGATGGTAGTGTTAAATTAACAGATTTTGGTTTTTGTGCACAAATATCACCAGAACAATCAAAACGCACAACTATGGTCGGTACACCATATTGGATGGCACCAGAAGTTGTGACGAAAAAGCAATACGGACCAAAGGTAAAATAAATTTTGTATCTAAAGTTATCTTGTAAGCTTTTAACTATTACAATATAATTAGTTAAATTCACCTAGAATTGAATGTATTTAATTTTAATTTTACTTACAAAAAATCATATTTTAATTTCATTTTCTGTTTTTAACAAAAATATATGATTAACTATTATATTTATTTACAGTTTATTGATAACATCTAAAAAATATAATTGTTTCATGAACATAACATAATTTACACTCTTTTTTAAATATATTTTCTTTGTAGGTTGTATAAGCGCACCAATTTATAATTCACAAAACATTATTTATGTATACATATATACATATAATAATATTATATACATTATATTGCCATAAGAAATGAGATCAGTTCCAAATTTGAAATATGAATACCAGTTCGAAAAAATATTTGCGGTAGATGAAAAAAACGTGGAAATTTTGATTATCTATACATATATGTATGCTAACTTATTATTATGCACTACTATTATGCATGTAGTGCACGGTATTACGAGGAAATTGGAAATAAATTAAAGTTAAATTAAACACCGCATCTGTATTTTTATGCATTTTTTAACAACGCCTTTTCCTTCTTTTCACTTATTTTTTTTTAATTGATTTAATTTCGACTTCTTTTCAAACGTACTTCTTATTAATTAAAAGTAGTAACAATTCATTGATGTTCAACCAATTTTATTAAATAAAATCAATATTTCAAATTTTTGATTGATCTTTACTAAGCCGCTAACTTTCAATTTACACGCTGCTGTTAAATATTTCTATTTTAGTGTTCTTATCATTGTTTCGAAATTATTTATTTAGTATTCTGTATTAATCGATTTCTTTTTTCTTTTTAAATATTTAATTTTATATTTTAGGTTGATTTATGGTCGTTAGGTATTATGGCTATAGAAATGGTGGAAGGAGAACCGCCTTATTTAAATGAAAATCCATTGAAAGCATTGTACCTTATAGCAACAAATGGTAAACCAGAAATAAAAGAAAAGGAAAAATTATCGCCAATTTTTCAAGATTTTCTAGATCAATGTTTAGAAGTAGATGTTGATCGAAGAGCAAGTGCTTTAGAATTATTAAAAGTAAGTTTATTTTATTTTGCGTTATATGCACTAATGTGAGAGAATGATGTTAAAGTCTGATTCTTTTTTAAATGCTTTTATTTAAAAAAATCTAAATTTTCATCTATTGAACCTCTTTTGAGTTTACTCGTATTATTTTTTTTAAAGAGGTTAAGTTTAAAAGGAACAGGCACACACAATTTTGTCGGTCATTCGTGATCGTAAATTTTCTATTTAATCACACAATATTTTTTTCGCTATAATATCTTTTAAGTAGTTCTAAACAAAATAATTCAAAAATATTTTAAACCTTAACTAGAAATAATTTCAGTGTTGCATATCAACTTCAATTGTTACATTGAACATTGTTGCGCAACAAAAAAATATTCTGCAATATTTTTTATAAAACGAAATTTAATTTTAATTGTTAAAAAATAATATCTTACTTTTAGTCGCAAAAATATAAAAAATACATATATATAGTAATATAATTTTTAATGAAATTTTATATGTTTGGTTAAATAATGTAAGATTTAAATAAGCATTATTTTATTTTTCAATTTCAGCATCCTTTCTTAAAACTAGCGCGTCCATTAGCTAGTCTGACACCATTGATAATGGCTGCCAAAGAGGCAACAAAAGGCAATTAATATATAAAAATACATAAATATTTATACATATAATTTAATATACATAAATATATACATAAATATTTACATATTCATATAAATATAACAGTTGTAAACGTATTGCATACATAGTTATATATTTGAATATATATACAAATATATTTATATTAACTAATAAAATACAAAACAAAACACGTAATAAATGCAACAAAGTATATATATATATATATATTTAAAAAAAAAACAAATGATTTAATTATGTAACTAAAAAGCAAATAAAAGAGTTTATATATAACATAAAAAACAGCAAACAAAAACAATAGAATTTCTGGAAAGTTCTTATGTTATTTAAAAAAAATAATTAACAATTAATTTAATTAATTGCAAAATTACAATAAAAACACAAATTTTGGTACGCTGCTAAAATTCAGAAAATAAAAATAAAATTGAATATGTTGAAGTAATATTAAAAAAAAAATAATAATTTAGTAATTCTGCAAAAAAAAAATTAATTATATTATAAATTATATATTATAAATTATAGTCGATCAAATTAGTTATTATCTCGTCGTATTTGTATAACAAATTAAAAAAAAAGCAAATAAATAAAAAATAAAATAACAAAAAAAAAAACAAAAAAAAAAAAAACATGAAACAGGAAAGAAAAGAACATTTATTAACAATATAATAATTTTTTTATTTAAGTTTTTAATTTTTAATTATTATTATTAATTATTATAATATTAATTAGATAAACAATTATAAAACATACTATATTTCCTTATTATATGTATAAAAGATGCTCTGTTTTTAATTTAAATAAATAATAAACAAAATACTAAATTTTACACAAATTTTATAATTTTGTTTTTGCATTATTTTTCCTTTTAGTTTACAAAAATTTAAATTAGTTCCTATATATCTTTTAACATTGATACAAAAAAAAAAGTAGTATATAATTCATAATATCGTTATTCTCGTGTTGTGGAAATTATTAGTATCGATCGGGGGCGCTCATTAATCTAATTTAAATATAATTTTAAAATAATTTAGGGTACTTTAGAAGTTTTAATGTTTCATTATTTTGTTATGTAATTACATTATAATTATGTAATTAAATTTTACTTCAAAAACAAAAATTTTAGAAATTTAACTATTGATGAGGAATAGTTTTATCTATATTGAGAGTAAATTAAAATTTGAAAAAAAAAATTTTTCATACACTTATTTTTTAAAATTATTTTCTGTGGAAGTGTATTTATTATGTAATGCCGGGTTTCTTAAAGTAAAATAAATATATTTGAATTTGTATTTTAAAATAATTTTATTTCTTTTTCAAATAATAATACGAGTTTTGCTTTACTGTATGCCTCATATTTTGAAATAATTTATTTAATATAAATTTGTTGTGTGAATTAAAAACTATTTCTATTTTGTTTAAAACAAAAACTTTCATCATTTTTTAATATGTGTGAAATATTTTTTAAATTCCTCTTAAACTGAATACTTGGACTTTTCTGATATTAAACAAAATAATTTGCTACAATTTATCGGTATTAAGTCTACAGGAAAATCAAAAATTTTTTCTGAAAATTTTGTGCATAAAAAATGAAAAAAAAACTAGCTTTGTTTTTTTGTTTTAAGAAAAGAAAAATTTAATGAAAAATTTAAATTGAATTTTTGTTTTAATATTTTGAGAAAGATTCACCATTCTGTACTAATATGATTAAGGTTGTTAAATATCAATGTAAAAAGATATAATATTCAATCTTCTATTAAATAATTTATTTATAAATAATTTATTTTTTTTATTGTTATAAAAAAGATTTTGCTATAATTTTCTATAATTTAAGTTTTTTTTTTTCAAATATACTTAACACTAAATTAATTTAAAAACATTAACTATTTTAAAGACTTCATTTTCAACTTGAAATCGAACCTTTGCTCTTCATATAATTATTTTTTTTCTTTTGCAAAAATTAGTATGTATTTATTTTTTTAATAATTTTAATTTATGTTTTAATGAAAAACAGAAAATTCTTTTATACATGTAAATTTTGTTTAAGTTATCATATTTAATATAAAATAAAAATAATTATTGAACGAAACAGAAAATTTAAAATTTTACATATATTCTTGTTTTAGAAGCATTAATATACATTTAAAGAATTATCATAATTAATTTACTTAATTTTTTTTTACATTGATAATACATACGTACATAATGTTATTTTAAATAAAAGTATTTTAAATGACTTTGACAAACATTATTTAAATAATGCTAAAATAATTTAGTTATGAATTTTTTATTGTAATTGAAACAAATATAATATAAAAACATGTTTATGTATACTTATTTTATAACAGATATAGATTCAAGTGATTAAAATTTCAATTGAAAAAATTATTTTAGTAAAAGGGATCAAATTATTATGTGGTGCGTTTGAAGATCCGATTAAATTGAACCCTTCTTTAAGAAGTTTTTAAGCGTTTTGAAAAACCCATTAATCTCTAAAACTGTTATCATTAGATATTTTCAATTCTTTTTTTTTACAATTACTTATCTGAAATTTTGCATTCTTCAGGTTAAAAGCAATTTTGCTTAAATAAACAACTTCTAGTAGTATTACTATTAATTTAATACTAATAAATTTATGAACGATTTTTATTTTAAATGATTTTCAGTTAATCTATGAATGTGTATAAGGGATACCTTAATAAATGTTAAATTAAATGAAAAAATTAAGTCTCCCTGTCGTGTTAAAATGGTATTAACAATTACTTTATTTGATTCCTTTCTAAAATAATTTTTTATTGATTTTTGTTTAAGTTTTATTTACAAAATTACAAAATTTCTAATAATTTACTTAAAATTTCAATTATTATATATTTATTTGATATTGTTTATACATTGCTGCTATTACTTAACTAATTTTGAAATTTTCTATAAGTTAGAAATATTATTACATAAATCATTCTGATAATATTTAATTTTAATTTAATAAAATGCAATAAAAATGTGAATTGAAAGTAAATATTTTATATTATTAATATTTACCATAATAATATTTTATCTAAGACAACATTATGACATAAATATTCACAAATGTATTGTTAAATTTATAATCAAAAATTAAAAAAAAAAAATATGTAGATTAAAAATATTTTAAATTTAATTATTTATACCTGTCATGGCGGATGAATTACCTTCAAATTACGACTTGAGGTCCTCGTTCTTATAAGTTGAATAAAGCGTTAAAATTAAATTTTTATCATAAAAATAAAAAAAAGTGGTAAAACTTTAGCTTATTTTAAACATGTATATTTTGTTTTTAATTCTTATGTTCAATTTTATTTATTGCATATCTGTCTTATTAATGATTATGAAATATTTTTGATTTTAAAATTTTAAAAGACCCACAATTGCATTTTAATTATTTTATGGCTAAAGAAAAATTTAAACAAAAATCAGGTCATATATAAAATATTATTAAAAAATAGGCGAAAAACTAAAATAATACTTATGTTTTCTATAGATTTCATTTTTGAAAGCAACACATTTTTTTTTATTATTATTATTATTATTATTATTTTTATTTTAAGATTTATTAAGCGAAGTAAAAGAAAATAAAATTTATTTTTGTAATTATTTTAAATTATGCTTTTATGTATTTTAAAATATTAATTTTTTTTTTATTAAATTCATACATTTTATTTTATATTCTTATATAATATACCACATATTCCTATATAATTTTTACTTTTAAAGACATTATATGCGAAAAGAAAAATTTAAAATACTGATATAAATTAAAATACATTAAAATAATTATTGATTTTATGTAATTCGATTGTTCTTTTCAACAAAAAACAAAAAATTGTATTTTATTTTTGAGAAAAAAAAGAAGAGGAGAAAACATAAAGAAAACTTGAAAAGATATGATATTTTATCTTTTGTAAATAAATACTTATATTATAAATTGAAAATTATGTATTATTAATTTATTTATTGCAGTTACTTTAGTTATTGCAGTTACTTGACATTCAGAAATAATTTGTTAATGGTTAAATGCAAACATAATTTTTAGAATTTTTGATATATTTTAAAAATGTAGGTACGTAAAACAAATTAGAACTGAGTTGCAACTTTTTCAACAAGAGCAGTTTGAATTATTAATAATTGGAAACTGGAACTTTTGATGACTTGATAAAATCGAAAATTGTAACTAAAACTGGAATTTAGTATAACACAATAAAGGCTTATGATTTCTAATGGCAATTGTACCTAGTGTTGTTTGCACTCTTTTGTTTTGCTTACATTCGTGTATTGAATTAGATGTTGAGGCGTAAAATTCTTAGATAGGGATTATTTTCCTTTAATCAGATTATCATGATGACTAAAAGTATTAAAATGAATTAAAGAGATAAGTTGAAGATCTTTCAAGGTAAGTAGAAAAATTTTATAACAGAAAATAATAAACGACTTTAAATGAAATTCGATATTTAAAAAAAAAAAAATTGTAGTAAGATAAGTTATGAAAATGTAAAAAAGTATAGTTATATTTGTTTACAAATTTAGGTGGTTTGACATTATTTGATTTTCATACTGTTATATACTCATACATTACTCATACTGTTTCATACTTTTCAACTTTTGATAATTTTAAAACGATATCTTTTACTTTTAATGTTAATCGCCTGTACATCTACTATTGACATGTACTCTATCAAATGTATTCATATACAATGTGGTTCTATTCAAACGCTCATAACTTAAAGCTCTAAGAATTTACGAATACGCACTTTTATATATTTGTATATAAAAATATATACTTATTCTTCAATGACCTAATATTCTGTTCAAACGTTACGAAAAAGCTTTTTTAAAATTTCATAGTAGTGAGTCTAGTGTTGTTACTATAAGATACTTCATATGTATCACTTAAATATAGCAAAGACCTTTAATGGTGCCAAATAATACGGGTGTTTTTGAAAATGCAGCTCTTCAAGTTTAAACTGCAAAGATTTATTTACAAATTAAATGTAGAGTTTTAAAAGTTTTGCAATTCTAACTTTAAGAACTGTAGGGTAAAAATTGAAGTTTCATAACTTAATTTATATTTAAGTAATGCTACGAAATGAACTATTGATTTATAAAAATTTCATAGCTCATTTATTATTTTATATAACGTGGAAAATTTTGCTAAAATTCAATTACATAATTGAAAAAAGTATAATATTTTACATGTTCATAAAATTGAAAATATCATATAACTGTGCAGTTGTACATTTATGTTTTATTACTATTCAACTGTCAAACTACTTTTCAACAAAATTTTTGTATCAAAATGTGATACATTTTTGTTTACATAACTTAGAATCACTGTTTAAATTTTTTAAGCTTTTGTTTTTAAATTTTTCTTTTATGTTATGAATTTATATTTTGCTTCTTTTAATTTCGAAATAATGTGATACGAATTAAGAAATCGGCAGTATGACTTTGTTTTTAGAACGAACACGTTGTATTTAAAATATTCGGTAAAATTTTAGTCGAAATTGACTATAAATTTTATTATTTCCATTTTATTTATTTTGCTGTATTAGTTATATTTTTTTTTTATTCACCGAATTTAATTTTGTTATTTACGAATTAGTTATGTAAATTTATGTCAATGGTAGTGAATGTTTTTTTAATTCTATACATATTGAATTATTGTACATTAAGCGAACATATTAGTGTGTTTATATACAAACAGAAATAATGTTTTTTAATACGTTTTAATTTCTAATAAAATAATATCGTTAAAATCTTTTATAAAACATTTATGTAAATAAATAAATTAATAGCGAAAATTTATACATACTCGTACAATATAATTTTTATATTTTAATGAAAAGTGAATGTTTTAATATAGAAACAATATTGCATTATCATGTATAAATCCTTACATACCCATGTATATATATATATGATGTGTAAACTTGTATAGGAATTAGGAACATTTATTTAATCAATACTAAGTAGAAATTTGATTTAAAATTATTCTATTTAATCTATTGTTAATGAATAATTTTTGCGTAAGAATAATGACAGTATTTTAATTGAAAATTTATAAAAGTACAATTTTGAAAGCTCAAAACCCACCTACATAATAATAATAATATGCATTTATAGCATTTCTAATCTTAGAATGCATGTATAAAAAAAAGAAACACTTTGTTTTAATCAAATATAATTTCCATTGCCAATAAATATATAAATATATTTATACACATATAAATACTTTGTTATTACAAATATTACATCACAACTGGTTAAACATGAATAAAATATTAAGAGGGATAATGACATACCGCAAAACAACACGTGAACACATGGTAGCCGAATTTAAACAAGTCAAAAATAATCCAGAGGTTTGTTTATATTTAATTTTTCAATATTATAATATTAGTATATTATACATATATATATATATATATATATATATATATATATATATATATATAAATATTATATATATATTATATACATATATAAATATTATATATATATATATATACATATAAATATTATATATATATTATATACATATATAAATATTATATATATATATTCATAAAAGGAGTAGTAATTGTTATGTATAATAAAAATAATCTCGTAAATGTGTAATTCAAAAAAGAAGAAACAAGCTCTAGTCTAGCTGATACAAAGTGAATTTTTTCGCTCTTTTTTTTGCTTATTTATAAGTTTTCGAATTATAACAATTATTCATAAAATAATCGTTATGAATAAAGCATCATTAATAACATGAGTGCATACCGCAGGATGATATAAAAATTTTATAATAAGTAATGATTATAAAAAATTTGTTATAATTTTAGCATTCTTTATTTTGTATTCTAGCTTTAGTATTATTTACTTAAACTTTAATATGGAAAGGCTACTAATTTAGTAGAGAGGGTACATAGATCATACAATTATGCAATATACTTACTTACAACTAATATTAAATGTTCTATTTTTATTTTGTGAAATCAAAAATTTTCCCACTTTTATTTTAGATTTATCAAATATTTTTAAAATTAAAATTTATATTGACGACTTTATACATATTACACTGAAAATATATTTTATCCAAAATAAATCGATTGGAACTTACATACGAGGTAAATTTTAGTAACCGGTCTAGTATATCTATTCAATTTATTATTTTTATTGCTTACGAAATTACAAAATATGCGTCTATTTGAGATTACAAGAAAAATTTTGGAACTTGATAAAATCAGAGTGATTTCTTTATCAAAATCATATATGTAATTAACTATAAAATAGATGTATGTTTTAACAAAGAAGCTACATAATTAAAATGTTATCAATAGCTGATAAAAAATAGAAATAGTTATTAAAATATATAAAAATAGGTATGTACATGCATAAATATATATTTATTATGACGGTAATTATTCTGAAGCATAAAAAAAAGCTATTTCATTTTTCAATATGCTTGCCAAAATGCTATACGTACTCTTCTCTAAAATATTTTAATTAGAAAGTCATAGGTTAACGTAAATAAAAACAACTGATAAAAACTTTAATATATTTTTATAATTAGAATATAAAAATGTTCACAGTTAGTGTAAAAAAAAATTTATTATCAAAACTTTATATGTGTGAGGTTGCGTTTTGTAGTTGATAATGAACTTTATACTTTTAATGTCAATAACTTTCAATGAATTGAGCATAAAAGAGGGCATAACATAACAATGTGAGTTTTTTTTTCGCAGTTTGTTTTTGTGTCAAAAAAAAAAGTTTTTATCTCAAATGTTACCTTATTGAATTTTGTGTACACAAATGAAAACATAAATATAATTTATATCTTTTGAAAAACTGAGTTTTTGCAAATGATATGCACATAAACGTGTTTTATATTTTTATTTTATCAAATAGAATAGTCATTATTTATTTATAAAATTTGATACATTCATTTTTGAGAAATAAATAAAAATTTTAAATATATTTTGTGTATGTAGCCATATATACCATATGTATAGACATACACAATTGAATGAATTAATTAATTATACCTAAATTTAACTCAAATATAAAATATTAATGATGATATAAAAATTATGATTTGTATATTATTCTGACTGCAATAACAAGAAATTTGAGTATTACATGGTAGCTAAAACCGAGCTGTTTTAACAACTTTTATGTTTTACTCGTAAAGATTTACGTTATGTGGTTTAGTACTTGACGGGCGAAACTGGTATATGCATTTTATACACATAATACATATCACATTTCATAAATTTTTGTTTATTGTAAAAATATGATTGATATTTGTTTACAAAATCTTGAATATCAAAGTATAGAAAAATTAAAATGAATCAGAATATTATTTTTCTGTTTGTAATAGAAATTTTCCATCTTTTAAAAATAATAAAAAATTTAATAACTTTTAAGAGCTGATAATCAAATCTTTGAGTTTTAATTTAATCAAATTTGGAAAATAAATTAGAGTTTTATATTTAAATAAACAAAAAATTTTTGTTATACATACTTAATCAGTTAATGGTTAATTATTTACATAAAAATTATCACATATCAAATATATGTACTTGTAAATAGGATGCAAATAATCAAATACATATATGTAAATAGGAAATTATTTGATGTGAAAATCGAATTTCGATTTTAATTTAATAAATAAATATTATTTTTGCTGATAATTTAAAATTAGAATATTTTTTATCTAATTAGTAGATAGTTTATACTATACTATTATACGGCAACCGCAGCGTATTCAAATTTCGAACTTCAAACGGACGGCGTTAAAATATTAATATTAAAAAAATATTGAATATTATTTCAATAGTTTTAAAGTTTCATGCAAACATCAAACATATTTATATACCAATGAATATACGAGTGAGTAGCCGCTCCACATAATTTCAGTTTGCCGAACATTTAATTAACGCATACCGCAAACCTTTTCTAGTTAGATTAATTAAAAAATTATAGGATAATATTAAATTATCATTAAAATAAATTTTCACTGTCAATATACCAATTTTTTTGGGTTTTTGTGCCAATTTATTTAAATAATCTATTCATAATGATTTCATACACTTTAAGTATACTTAATTGGGTAGAGTATTTGTAATAAATGCGAGAATAAAAATAGGGAAACCTTAAAAGTAGTAGTATTTAGTGGAGCGAAAATAATTAGTAATTAAAATTGAATAAAAAATTAATTATAATTTGTATACTTATTTATGTATATGTATTTCTTAAAACGTTGCCATATCAAAAATAACCTCCTTTAAAGGCCTGTTTACATATTATGTGATGCGTTTCTTTTTGGAGCCAGAGTTTGAAAATAAAAAATATCACCTCAATTTTTAATCTAGTAAACAAAATATTTAATTTCCGAATGTAAATCTTAAATTTTTCGATTAATAATTATTCAATTAAAATATTTTAATTTTAATAATTTTTAGCCAAAAGCTGTGTTTTTCACATGCATGGACTCTAGGATGATACCCACGAGATTTACTGATACAGCTGTTGGTGATATGTTTGTTGGTTAGAAAGCATGTACAATACAATTTTTTCAAAGCAGTCTAATGTTTGTTTTTATTTAATTTCAGTGAGAAACGCTGGTAATTTAATTCCAAATTCCCACCATTTTCAAGATGAATATTTTAGTTGTGAACCGGCTGCATTAGAATTAGGTTGTATAATTAATGATATCCGACATATTATAGTTTGCGGTCACAGTGATTGTAAAGCAATGAATTTACTTTATCAACTTCGAGATCCAGAACTATCATCTTTGGTACTTTTACATTTTTTTAATACATCTTTTGAAATAAATTTAAAATTTTTCTTCTTTTTTTTGTAAATTTTAGAATAATAGACGTATTTCACCATTAAGATCATGGCTTTGTACACACGCAAATTCAAGTTTAGAAAGATTCTTAGATTGGAAAGAAGCTGGTATGAAAGATCCATTAGTATTTTCTTCAGAAACCCCATTAAGAAAATTTGTTGCATATATTGATCCAGAAGATAAATTTGCAATTGAAGATAAATTATCTCAAGTTAATACATTACAACAATTATCAAATATCGCATCATATGGACTTTTAAAAGAACGCTTAGAAAATTTTAATTGTCATATACATGCTTTATGGTTTGATATTTATACTGGTGACATTTATTATTTTAGTCGTGGTGCAAAACGTTTCGTTGAAATTAATGAAAATAGTATAGAAAAATTATTAGAAGAAGTGGAAAAATATTATTCCTAACTTAATTCCAAAATATTTATATGTATATTTCTAAAAAAGAAATAAATATGTAGCTGTGATAAAGGATCACTTTTGGGGTATAGTTAGATTATGTATTTGAAGAATCCAAAATGTTCTTTAAATAGTAAATACAAAATGTAAAGAAAGTCTTTTCAAAATGAAAAAATTTTAAAAAATTTACTTTCAGTCTTTAATAAGTTGCATGGCATGCATTGATTTTGATTTTTTTTTGTAAATGTCAGTTTATTAATCCTTTATAGAACCTAATTGCGTTAAAATAATTTTCTAATGGAGAAACCACAAAAGAAAAGGGACAAAAACGAAGAAGTTCGACATATCACAATGTAAATAAAGTCTTTTCAAAATTAGTTTTTTTAATTTAATATTAGGAAAAAAAATAAAATGCAGCTACAATTGTTAAATTTAATACTTTACGTGGTAGCCCGTAGATTTGGAACAGCCCAAAGTCATCGTTTTATAGAAGAAGTCAATTTTTCCATATCAATTTAATCCGAAATTTTGGACAATTCTTCTATAATATGTTTTATAAGGTCACTTTTGGATTTTAGTATACTTTTCGCCAAACTTTACTTCAAGTGGGCCCAAAAATTCTCAATTGGATTGAGGTCTGGACTTTAGGGGAGTGTTTCGAACACTTTTGGGCAGTCATGAAGCAAACAGCTTCTTACCAAATAAGATTTATAATGCAAGCGGTTATACCTATAGAATTTATAATAACCAACAAGACCAAATTTTTCGACTTTGTTTACCAGGTTCGTTTTTAAAATGTCTAGATATTGTTGCTTATCTACATGACCATCTTTAAAAAACAAGTTTAACACCCCGCGACAACATATACAACTCCAAAACATTACAGATAATTTTCCAAATTTAACGATTGGTATAATATTTTTGTTGTTTGGAGCCTATAACGGATTTCCTCACACTAGTTGATCCTTGCTTGTTATATAGCATAATTTTAAATTCATCACAGAATATAACATCGTTGCAATAACGTTCTGATTCATCCTTATAAGTTTCGGCAAAACAAATATTATACCAATCATTAAATTTGGAAAATTATTTGTAATGTTTTGGAGTTGTATATGTTGTCGCGGGGTGTTAAACTTGTTTTTTAAAGATGGTCATGTAGATAAGCAACAATATCTAGACATTTTAAAAACGAACCTGGTAAACAAAGTCGAAAAATTTGGTCTTGTTGGTTATTATAAATTCTATTGGTATAACCGCTTGCAGTATAAATCTTATTTGGTAAGAAGCTGTTTGCTTCATGACTGCCCAAAAGTGTTCGAAACACTCCCCTAAAGTCCAGACCTCAATCCAATTGAGAATTTTTGGGCCCACTTGAAGTAAAGTTTGGCGAAAAGTATACTAAAATCCAAAAGTGACCGTATAAAACATATTATAGAAGAATTGTCCAAAATTTCGGATTAAATTGATATGGAAAAATTGACTTCTTCTATAAAACGATGACTTTGGGCTGTTCCAAATCTACGGGCTACCACGTAAAGTATTAAATTTAACAATTGTAGCTGCATTTTATTTTTTTTCCTAATATTAAATTAAAAAAAATAATTTTGAAAAGACTTTATTTACATTGTGATATGTCGAACTTCTTCGTTTTTGTCCCTTTTTTTTTGTGGTTTCTCCATTAGAAAATTATTTTAACGCAATTAGGTTCTATAAAGGATTAATAAACTGACATTTACAAAAAAAATCAAAATCAATGCATGCCATGCAACTTATTAAAGACTGAAAGTAAATTTTTTAAAATTTTTTCATTTTGAAAAGACTTTCTTTACATTTTGTAAATGAATTTTCGTCTATCATATTATTAAATTCTATAATAAAAATAAGAAATATTATATATTGAACTATTTAAATATGGAAAAGTAAATACTTTATTATCAGGTTGTCGTTAAATAATTAATTTGGAAAGTTATGTTTTTAAAGCAGCATACCCTACTGCCAAATATAGTTAAATTTTATCAAAAATACCGAGATCAGTAAGTTCAAAGTAAATAACAATATAGTCGTAGCCACAATAGAATTTTTGCTCTACATTACTACCTCTATATACTTATAAAAAGTTCAAAATTCGGATTTGAAAGTGATTCAAAATGAGTTTACCTATAATTTGTAAAATGCGATTCTACCATTAATCAAATTATATAAACGAAGACCCCATTATGTACATGCAGGATGAATTGTAAAACTGAATTATGTTTTTATTTTAGAAATGAATATATTTTATAAATGTTAAAATGTAAAAAATAAATACTGCTCAATGGATTGCTTGTCATTGCAATGTATTGTATGTATTTGCTTACAGTAAAAAGAAAAGATTGTATAATTATTTTAAAAATTATTAAAATAAATGTGTATATTCTGACAATATTTTTAAAAAAGTTAAATATTTTAATAATATAATTATAGTAAACTTATTGCAAATAAATAAAATAATTGTTACAATTTTATAAGAAAACTTATTTAGTTATACATAAAATTCTGAAAATTTTAAAAGACTTTTTTGAAACAATGTTTAAATATATTTAATATGTATATTCAATATTCGTATATTTATATTAATTTTCATTGAATAAACAATGTATTAGACTTGAATATTTATTATCGGTTTTAGTGACAATTATTTTGTTATTACTACCGACAGCATTTCAATTCGAACCTCAATTTGAGGTTTAAGGTTTTGTTATTTTATTAAAAGCAAATTTCTTTTTGTTTATTCTTCTATTTTTTTCTGTCAATTCAAAAATATAATTCATTTTATAAAAGCATGTAAATTTCCGGAATTATATAATCTAAAAATTATTAATTTTAATCTTATGTTTTAAGCTAACATTTTTTTTTACAAAATACAAAATAATATGTCAAGTAGAAAAGGTAAGAGTTATTTGTTAATACTGTATAGAAAAAAAACAAGCCTCCTAAATATATGCAAAAATATATATTTCAACAGGTAAGGTGGCATATAATATTCACCACACTATTTTCTTCGGTACATTAAAAATTTTACAACATGTTGCGCCTTACCATATGTTTCGTTTCTGTTTATATTCAATACGAGCAACAAATAATAGTAGTGGATAGAGTAAGTGCGTATGTATGTTCGTATTATAATGTTATTTAATAACCATAGAAATTTTCTGTACATACATGTACATACATTTATTTCTTTTTTTTGAATTTTGAAAAAAAAATCAACTTCATTACTAGTGTGATTGTGACAAGAATTATGTTACGATTGATTACAAAAACCCATCCATGCTTTAATGAAAAAAAAAAAACAAACAAAAAATTTAAAACGTTATAAAGTAGATATTGGATATTATACCGTAGAATATTAAAGTAGAATAAAATAAAAGAGGTATGTATTATGTATATAGAAGTACCTACATATACACATAAACAGAAAATATTATGCTTATTTTAATATCTTATTATTATGTATTCTTTCTATGAGATGCCTAAGTGGGTCACTTGCGATTTCGTGGCCGAGTTAAAAAATAGGAATAAAAAAGAAATTGAATAAAAAAAAATTTTATGAAATATAAAGTACAGGTATAACATACAAAATAAAAGAAAAATTTAAATATGTATATGCTAATATGAAATGCTAACAGAATATTTTACTCTTACAAACATATGCACGTAAGTATATTGTATTCTTACTTGTATATCCATTGTATACGTGTAAAATGAAGTTAACATAGAAGTAGTATTGATGAGGAATATTTTTGGAAGTTAAATTTAGACATAAAAGTATTAAAAATATGTCTATATATTATATTGCCTGTAGGGACAAGAGTCAATTACGATATATAAGATTAAAAATGAATTAACGTGCCTACAAGAGTGAATAATTATTAATATTTTCTAAACATATTATATATTAAACAGTATACCAAGTGTGTGTACAAATGTTTAATATTGTTTGAAAAATTATAAGCACCTACATATAAACTTAAATGAATAGTTATATCTTTTTTGAAAATTCTTTAACATAACGCAGGGGCTTTCCCTCTAACGCAAATTTTCAATATAACGCAGGCATAAACGGAATTCTGCAAAAACATTATGTGAAGAATATGCAATATATTTTTAACTATTTTATAAAATCAAAACAGTTATCATATGACGTAATTACGTTACTCATATACTAATTTCGCTATAATGCGAAAAATTTTCCATTTTTATGAATACAATATTTCCAAAATATTTTTTTTTTAATTTTTATTTGTTCCTATTTATTTAATTAATTTAATTTTACCCTTATAGACTTCAAAACTAATACGAGATCAATTCGTCTAAATGATTGTTCTGTCAGCATTACTGCAATTTCAAATTCAAGGGTATACCTATTTCACACTATAACGTGTTGAAATTTACTGAACGAATTAATAATCCATATAATTAGAATTTCAATATTAACATAAAACAAAACATGTATAAGTTAAAACGGAACTATGAAAAATTTTCAAAAGATTAGCCTTATTAAAAAACAAGTGCACTTTTAGCTTATACACATTTATTGTGTTTATATAATTATCTTTATAGTTCGATTATAAGTAGGTATATCTTTGAAAAACAGAGATGGAATTAAATATTAAAACTTGCTATATAAAAATTATTATTGTCATCTTATATTTTACTTAATAAAGTTTATCCTGCTGCAACATGATCACATAATATGTATATGTTGTTAAAATTTAATTAGATCACTTGTTATATCGGAATGACTTGTACATGTTTTTAAAATTAGATGACCATATTTGAAGTTGTTCGAATTTATTTTATAATGAAAGCAAACATTAAAGTAAGTAAAATGTTATAGTCGATTTTAATGAATTATTTAAAACTTTACTAAAGATTTACTGACTCTATAATACCTGCAATAAAAGATTATAGAAAAATAAAACAAAATTTTGTAGGGAAAAGTTTGGAATTATGTTCGTATATAACAATTTGGAGTATATTCGAAAATTTAGGAGTAATTAATTTAATTCCTTAAAAATTTTCAAATTTTGGAATTCAATTTTAGATTTAAAATCTGAACAATCCGTTTCATATACAATTAATATGGCCA